TTAATACCACAGCAATGTCTTCATCCAGTAACACCGAATCTTCAACAACTACGTCTTACGTAGCTGCCATAAAATCTAGGCCCAAGCCTTTCTTCCCTAAAAAGGGGCAAGCAATTATTTATCACTCAGAAGAAAATCTAAAACTATTCGACTATGTAAAATCCACTGGGGATATTGTTGGACCTAAAAATATAATATTTGCATCTCGAATCTCGAACAATCGTATCTGCATATACTTAAGCAAAGTTGAGCTTGTTGACCAGCTTATTTCCAACAATCCTGTTATTAAAATAAACGGTTTAGACCTACCTATTAGGAGATTAGTTACTAAAGCAAAACGTATTATAATTTCGAATGTCTGTCCCTCAATTCTCCATGATCTCGTTGAAAATGCTTTAAATGACCTTAGTTTAAAACTAGCTTCTCCGGTCTCTTTCTTAAAAATTGGAATTCAAGGAGATGAATATAGCCATATCCTTTCATTTCGAAGACAAGTATACATAATTCCACCTACTGAAAATTTTGAGCTTTAGACCTCCCTAGTTATCGAATTTGATTCCACACCATACCGTATATTTCTATCTACTGATAGAATGGAATCCTTTATTTGTAAGCAAGCTGGCCATACAGCTGCAAATTGTACAAACTACCAAACCATCAATGTTCCTCAATCTGCCGATGAACCACCATCGGCAACAAAAACCTCATCAACCTTAGAACAAATGCCCCACGAACCCATACAACGACAAAAAAGGCACTTTCTAGCCGACTTAGTACACCTGACCCCCACTTGCTTGACCAACTTGTATCTAATCCTCAAATTGAAAATTCGCATTTATGCCTCTTCCTAAAGACTTTCAGGAAAGAGGCACAAAACACGTAAAGAAAAAGCCCACAAAGCTTCTTTACTCCACCAGATAATCTCAGAGCCTTTCTTGAAAACGCCCCATCAAGTAGTAACCTCACAATAGAAGCCCAGTAAATTACTTCTGACATCAATTTACTTTAATCTGACATGTGCAATTTTCCCACATCTAACCACCACATCACTAAAAAATAAGTTCACAAGAATACCAAAAAAGCTCAAACAGGAATTACTTTCAGAATTAGACGACACACACAGCCTAGTCTCACAAACATCTTTCGACACCTCTGAGGATGCTGACACAACCGAACATTCCCAACACTTCGAAAAATCCAATCATTAATACTTTTCACACTTACTCAATGGAACTGTGATAGATTCTTTTGCTGCTTAGAAAGAATCCAACAACTAATCAGAGACACCAATCCAAACATAATATGCCGACAAGAAACCAATTTCAAACAAAATCAAAATATTGTTCTTAAGGGTTATGCAGGATATCATCACGTAAGAAGAGAATGCCTCAGAGCAAGTGGAGGAACCTCAATTTTTGTCGAAAAATATGTTTATTCAACACATCTCTCTTTAGTTACAAACCTAGAAGCAATCGCAGAAACCATATGGTGCCCTAAAAGAATAACTATCTGTAGTATATATATCTCACCAAGTTACAATCCTACTGAAGCTTAATGAAGGTAGACTTAATTTTTCAACTTCCAGCACCATTTCTAATCGTTGGAGACTTTAACGCCCACAATACTGCATGGGGTTCGCAAACCACGTACGGCAGACGAAAAGTTGTAGAGAACGTACTAAACATTACCGACACTTGTTTTCTAAATAATGGTTCTATCACTCATTTCAATATTTCAACAGGAAGTTTTTCAGCAATTGACCTAAGCCTATGCGACTCCAAAATATATTCTTCTCTAACATAGAATATGGTAGATGATCTATATCATAGTAACCATTTTCCCATCCTCATAGCAAATAATGAAGAAAAATCACCAGGAACAGAAATAAAGTGGAAGATTTCTAATGCCGACTGGGCAAGTTTCAGAACTGAAATAGACCGTCAAATGGAACAAATTTTCTTCTCTGGACATATAGATACTGATGTAGATAATTTTAACAAATGTATTATCTCCGCTGCTGACATTTACGTAGAAAAAAGTATAATAACTTCTACAAGAAAATTAACACCTTGGTGGAATGAACGTTGTGCAACTGCTGTAAAAGAATACAAAACTGCTCTTCATAAGTACCGCCGAAACAGAAGTGACGAAAATCTCATATGTTTTAAAAAAACTTAAAGCCAAGGCGAAATATATCTTAAAACAAAGTAAGAAATACTCATGGAAGAAGTACATCTCTACTTTAACTCATAATATTGGCCCTTCTCAAGTCTGGAAGAAAATTAATCAAATGCGGGGAGAAATACGTGCACAAGAATTCCAGCTCTTTTACATCAAAGTAATTTAGTAACCGACGATCAAGATATCGTTAATGTAATTGCCGATAATTTCTATCAACGGTTTCAAAACAAGAATGCGCCCAAAGAAACAAATCCATATCTGCCCTTAAAAAACTTCTTATATTGTACAACATAATATGGACCAATCAGAAATTTCCAATTCTATGGAGAGAATCTATCGTGATACCAATTAAGAAACAGGATAAGTCACCGAATAATCCAAATTCTTACCGTCCTATTTCACTAACATGCACCCTGTGTAAGCTGCTAAAAATCTAATAAACAAAAGACTATTATGGTTTCTAGAAAAACACAACCTTTTAGATTCAGCTCAATCCGGATTTCGTCCATACCGAAGCACGGCTGACACTTAGTAATGTTACAAACATAAATCATATTTTCAAAACAAGCAAGATTTAATAGCAACATCATTTGACATCGAAAGCGCCTTCGATACTCTATTACGTTCTACTGTATTGACCAAATTAAAAGAATACAATATTACGGGAAATACATTATCTTTTATCGAACAGTTTCTCTCTGGACGCCGCTTCAAAGTATTAGTTAACGGAAAAGCTTCTTCAATTCAAAACGGAAAACGGAGTACCCCAAGGATCAGTTCTAAGTTCCACTTTATTTATAATAACTATCAATAATATTTGCAAGAATATTTACAATCCAGTAAAATACAACTTATATGCTGACGACCTGATTCTATATTGCCGCGGTAAATATACGTTAACAAATACAAATTTAATCCAAAAAGCAGTAAATAAAATAACTTCTTGCTCTATAAATTTTGGTATTAATTTCTGTGCTGAAAAATCAAAAGTACTCAAATTCAGTCGTAGAACACGTAGCGTATTATTACTTCAAATTACATTAAATGGTATTCCGCTCACGGTAGCTAATGAACACAAAATACTGGGGTTAATTTTTGATAGTCGACTAACATAGAAACCACAGATTACAAAGGTCAAATCTAATGGGTTAGCTAGATTAAATTTATTAAAATCTCTAGCAAACCATCACTGGGAAGCTGATGAAGACATCCTAATTAAGATATACAGATCTCTCATTCGTTCTCGACTAGATTATGGGTGCTTTGTATATATGTCAGCTTCAAAGACTTATTTAAGGACTCAACATACTTTGCTAGAGTATCTTCGAATCAAAACAACTCTATACATAAGTTAATCTACAAACCCTACAACTGTGAACCCAACAATAATTTTCAGACACTGCCTCAAATTTTACTTTCCCTTTCACTACCTGTTGATTTTTTAATAACAGATACTCATATTATATTCTATCATCAACTCCTCCTTGGAATAATAGCATTCCAAAAATTAACCTTTTGCTTAATAATTTTCACAAAAATAAAACCAACAGCCAAATTCTGAGGCAAACTTTCCTAGAGCTGGTCAATACAAACTCATAGGACGAGATTCTTTACATAGATGCATCTAAAACTGAAACAGGAGTCGGATATTCTATAACAACTGCAAATAGTATCATTCAGAAGTTCTGCCTTCCACCATCCACCTCAATCCATACGGGAGAGCTGTACGCCATCCTGCAAGCATTAAAATGTCTATGCAATCAAACTAGCCAAGAACACTGAAATATGTACAGATTCGATGTCCTCCATCGACTCGATTAAAAATATATATTTCGAACATCCATTAGTTCATGCCATACATGAAACAACAAACTGTCTCACTTCTTCTGGAAAAGACGTAACATTAATCTGGATTCCTTCACACGTCGGGATTTTGGGTAATGAAACTGCTGATACTGCTGCGAAGAAAGCAATTACAACCAAATTAGACATCAAATCCGTTCAAATAGCATCAGATCTAAAACTACTTTTCAGATCACAAATCAAAAAGTCCTGGCAAAATCAATGGAAAAGTTCAACCTCGAAACTACACAAAATACACCCTACCATCGAAACCTTTCAGCTGTCTAACTTAGGTAGAAGCGACAAAGTAATCGTTCGCAGGCTAAGAATTGGTCACACACGGCTGACACATGGACACCTGATGGCTTCGGAGAAATTATCTGTCTATGAAAAGTGTAGTGAATCATTAACCGTTCAACATATCCTTACACAGTGTGTCGAGTACGAGCAAGCACAAAAAAATACTCTATGCATGGTCTTAAAAATGTGATCCTCAGCCATTTGGATCTTATTCCGAATGTACTAGATTCCCTTCGAGAAACGAATTTGTTTAAAAAAATTTAATGTTTTTTTTTCTGTTTTTACTTTGTCTTTTACTCTCTTTATTTTAATGTAATGTAATATTAATTTATTGTAAACTATAATTATATTGTAATGTAAAATTTATAGTACCACAATATTTATAGAGACACAATAAACTCAAAAAAAGAGTTAAGTTCCAAATGTAGCTACGTGCATTTTATTACGAAAAACCCTCCCCAGACGAATACTTTAAAGAGCTATTTATTATTCTTATATCTAAACAGAGAAACAATAATTCAATTTGAAAGACCTGATTTGATCGACAGGGTTAGATTTAAAATTTCGTTTAATCGAAAACGAAGATTTTGTAGTTAGCTACTTTTGGAACCAGGCCATTGATATTATGTAGTAATGTCAATAACTACACGCAGCATAAATACAAATAAAAAATTGCCGCTTTGTTTTATATTAAAATACTGTCAATGACATAATTTGTCAAAGTATAATTTATTCACAATTTTAAGAACATTTATATAAAACAGAATGGATCAAACGGAGGAAGATATTTGCCCACGCCATACGTGTATGTTTATGACATTACTTCCATTCTTTTTGGATTTGCCCATAGAACAGACTGAAGTTTCTGTAAGTATAAGTCTCTTGTACGGTATTAGTACATGGACATAATATTGGTGCATCTTTTGCAGATACCCCCATCTCGATTACTAATTGAACTGCAAATGCCCTTACAAGATCGAATAGATCAACTTTGCAAACCTACGAGGAAACGTAGAGTTCGTACTGATGTCAATACATTTGCCAGAACGCCAGATATAATGGTGTTCCAGAATTTCGATCAATTTAAACAATATAAAACTACGATTACCTTTTTAAATAGAAAATCGGTATGTAAAAATTACAAACAGCGAATCAACAAAAGCAATTTTTTGGATTTGTTATTTAATTTTTAATTTATTATAATACTTTTTTAGACTTCGAGAAATTTGAAGATTTCTGGCATAAATTCTCCATATTTTGATGTCGTTCAACCAGGTTTAGAATGTGATTTTATAAAAGTGGCTCCTGGTGTGAACTTTGTCATCACTATTATATTTAAACCAACGGATATAAGAGATTATTTTACAGAGCTGGTTTGTACTACAAACGAAGAAACCTTCATTTTTCCTGTTTATGGTTTGTAAAAATTTCGATCAATACTATATTTTTCCTTATACTTAAAGTCTACTTAAATTAAACCGTTTTACGTAAATTGAGCGATTCTCAACCTTTACTTGTCGGAGAATTCCTGACAGCTTCTAGAACAGGGTTTCCTAAATGATTTTTCTCGAGCCTCCACAGACCCTTAATAATATAGTCATTTCCTTTTATAACACAAACAGCGCATTATTTAAATTATTTATTTTACTTTTTTAACTTACCTTAAACTAAAAAACTTTTAATTAATTTAAATAATTTACTTTTATTCGATAGGAGACTACTGAGTTACTCTAGTTTGCATTATACTATGTACTGGTTCCTAAAAAAATTGATACGATTCTTAGCAAGATTTAGGGTCAATTGTTCGAACGCTAATCAAAATTTGATTGTAATCAAATATTTAATTAAAATCAAGTACTTCACATTTTGATCTTATGTTGACTGATTTATTTTATTCAATATTTATCATTTTGCGTTATAATTTAAAATAAACCATAACAAAACTCTTTCTGATGTTAATTTCATGTTTTTATTTACAAATTGATAATAATAAGAAACAATTTTTAATAATTTTGATACCTGCTATGACGTATTTGATTGTAATTAAATATTTGATTACAATCAAGTTTTGATTAGCGTTCGAACAATCGGCCCTAAATCATTTTAAGCAGTGTATTTGATTGGTATGACATTATATTTATTATGACAGACAAATAATAAAATAAACAAATAAACAACAAACAATCGATAAAATTTGGTAATTCATAAGTTGTAATAATTATTCAGGTCTAAGTTTTTATATTATTTTGAATTCCTGCATTTTATAAAGAGTATATAAATGATAGTTTTTACATAAAATAGGGTTGTTGTTATTATTTTTTTTATTAAGAAATAAACAAACAACTTAACTCAAAAATATATTAAGGTAAGAATTTAACAGTGACATAATTCTTGCAGTTTCTACCAGTTGATTCTTGCTTCTCTTGTAATATCTCCAAAAGCATACGATCTTCATGAGCGGTAGATATGTTTGGTCTTACAGAATCTTGCTTTCTTTCGAGAGTTTTTTGTTCTCTCCATTTTTTATACTACTACTACTAAGGATTTCCACAGTTTTCACTGTCTTCCTTCACTCAACCGTTTTCTTCAATTTTCCCTATCATTCCAGTCTCCATCTCGCAGGGTTCTTTTCTCCATAGCCTCGTCGATTTCGTCTCTGAATGACCTTCGGGGTCTTCCTCTCTTTCTTCTTCCGATCGGGCTCCATTCAGATATAGGTGAATTCCATCCATGCCACCACAAGTTGTGATCTGTTCCACACTCTGCCCCTCTTTTCACTCTGGTGCCTTTCACTTTGATGGAGCTTTTGTGGTTCATGATAATGTAGTCAATATTGGATCTTAGTTTTCTTGTCTCTTGAGTCCATGTGTACTTATGTATATTTTTGTGTTTGTAGAATCCGTTCATAATTTTCAAATCATTTACTTCACATAGTTCTATCAATCTTTCTCCGTTGTCGTTAATTGTGTCTTGTCCAAATGGACCAACTGTTCTGTCATTGTCTTTTTTTACGATTCTTCCATTTAGATCCCCCACTATTATTATTTCTTGTTTAGGTTTTCTCTTATCCATTTGTTCCTGAAGTTGTTCGATAAATCGTTCTTTCTCATTGGCTGAACTGTCTTCCGTTGGACCGTATGTTGCTAGTATTATAATTTCTTTGCCATACATCTTGATTTTCAGTTTGGCAATTCTCTCGTTTATGGGTTCCCAATCGTCTATAGATTTTTCCCATTTCTTCTTTAGTAGAATTCCAACTCCAGCTTTTGCGCGGTCTTTCTTTTCTACTCCGCTCCAACAATGGATTAGTTCCCCTATTCTTTCAGGAGGCTTTTGTTCTCCAGCCCCGCACATTCCATTTGCCGATTCTTAGCTTTCTCTGTTTTTGTCTATGGTCGAGTTTCGAAGCCGGGTTTGTTAAACTCAAAGCAGAAGTGCCCCCCCTATATGATGGGGCACCCTCCTTCGAACGTGTGGATTACCACCCGGGATTAATTTTAAAATTTTTCATTTCTGCCAATTGTTCGTTAGCCCTTGGATTTTTTAAGTGTGCTAGGTTGCTAACGCCTAACGCCACAACCCCCTTTTGGAGGACCTATTGTTCAGCCGCCCAGTCTGGGTCAGACGCTGTTTGCAGCCACCCACTCTGGGTCAGACGCTACTATTGTCAGTTGGTCCGCGTCGGATATTTCATTTCCCCGATACCACCCATATCTGGGAGGCGTTCCACTATCCGCCACCTGGGGACGCGTCCGGTAGAGGACTGACATCCTCCTCGGATCCATCTTTTATTAATATTAAAAACATCTTTTATTAATATTAAAAACATCTTTTATTAATATTAAAAACTATTGTTCTGTTTACGTTAAAATATGTTCAATCTTCTAATTGCTTTCAAATTCTTGCTTTTAGTTCTTTGCTAGCATGTGGAGCCATTTTTTGAGGTTGAACCAGAAAAAGTATCTGACAAATTTTAAGATTTGGCAGTGACAGTGACAGTATGTAAATAATAAGTATTTCTCCTTCAAAAACACTGCTCAATTTTCTACAAAATACGCTTTAAGAGTCGTATCAGTTTTTTAGGGTGCCTACCACCGAACAAAAAGACAAAATAGGGAATCTAATCGTTATGAAAAAGAGATCAAAAAAGTGGCCTCTGATGGCGGACATATCCGGAAATGCGAATGCGCCCAATTTAAATTTCATGACACTTTACAATACTCATACAGTGGTAGCGGGGTTCTAATTTATCTATTTATTTATTTTATATTACATAATATTAATATATAATACACTTAAAATACTGTTTTTAACAGTAGAACAAAATACAGTTTTAATTAAATAATAACGATAATAGTCTAAAATGTGAAACAATTGTTAAAAAAACTTCAATAGAAAATACAAATAATCTTTAATGTGACAGTTGGGACAAACAATAACATCAGCAATAACATAACCCAACTAAATTTGATTTCTTAAACAAGGAAAGAGCCTGTCTTTCCTTGTTTAATGTGACCTGTCAAGATGACACTTCCTGTCTAACAATATTTTTGCCCCCACTACCTTTACATCCCCTCTTTTGTCTTTTTGCTCGATTTCAATATTTTAAGAATGGTAAACCATACGATAGTTGGTTGCAATATCAGTTATAACAAAAAACTAAAAAATCAACCATTAAAACCAACCAAAACCATCAAAGTGTCGGTTTTTAACATTCCCGCGAAAATAAAACCTTGCCAAAATTTGGATTGAGAAATGCATGCAAAAAGAAAAAATAAACATTTTTACAGCAAGTGTATGCTCAAAGCAATTGACTGAATCTGATTACCAGCTGAAAGAAAAATTGTTGTAAATGCTTATTTACCAACTAAAAACCCTTCTTAAAACCCAACTAAAAAATACTGGGCAGGAACAAAAAAAGGAGACAACTAGTGGAAAATATATTGGATAATAAGTGAGTTAATGTATTACATTCTAGTGTATCGCCAGCGATAGTATCTAAAGACAAGCCAGTAAATATGGAAATTACAGGTAACAACCAAATGAATAGTTACTGTTGTCTTTCACGTTCAATTGGCACTCAGGCTGGTTCAATTGAAGTTGCAGAAAAAATTGGACAACTAGAAGAAGAAAATAAACAATTGCGAGTTATGCTGCAAAAAATAAAATCAGAGGCAGATGCTGTAGAAAAAAAATTCTAAAGGTCAGTTGCGAAAATTAAAAACTAAGAAAGCAAATTCAATGGTCCACAAGACATGGCTTCAGCACTTTCCCTGTATGCGGGGGACCAGGATCTTATCGTTTATTACGTAAACGAGGGTACCCTCTGCCTGGAATTCATACCTTAAGAAGATGGGCGTCCAATGTAGAAATTGGTCCAGGTAAACATTGTCAAAATTTATTTAAATTAGGTACATTTGTAACAAGCAAATATTTTTTCTAGGAATATTGAAAATAATTTTGAGGCTCATGAGAAATTATGGGCTAACAAAACAGGAAAAAGCTTGTATAATTATTTTCGATAAAATGAAAATTCAAACAACGTTTAAGTATTATAAAAAAACGTGATATTATTCTGGGACCTCATATGTGCAAGTTGTTATGGCCAAGGTACGTGCCACAAATGGAAGCAGCTTCTACGTTTATGATCAACCAATGACAAAAGAATTATTATTTAAATTACAGTTTGAACATTGACTATCTGGTTTATGCTATAAACTCAGATTTGGGAGGCAGTAATCGAGGTTTGTGGAAACGATTGGATATTTCTGAAAACAAGCCCTGGTTTAAAAATTCAACATCTGGAAAAAAATGTATTCGCAGATGTACCACATATGATAAAATTGTTTAGAAATAATTTTTTGGACTCTGGTTATGTTTTAAATGGAAAATTTATCTATGTCAGACTGCACGTCGGCAATGTCTTTACTTCACTTTCATCATGGTAATATTGTTAGCATTAAATCTTTGCAACTAGTCTTTCTGTATTAAAAAAAAAATTCAACATCAAGTATATAACAATATACAATTTAAATCAAGATTGCTTAAAAGGATTCTTCTTAGTAATACGTGCGATTGGAGGTTTGTATGATCATCCGTCTCCCTCGCAATTTTGAATGAATGAATTTTTTTAGTACAATGCATATATTTAATTATTTTATTGGTATGATTATAATTCACCAAAGTATAAACTAAACATTGTAACAGACGAACTACAATTTTAATTATTTAATAACATGACAATGTATAAAACTCTATGCTTTCCCATAACTCTCCATACAATTTTGTCGTGCGGTGACGTCATGCGCGAGTCTGTTCCAAAATTGGATGTAGTTCTGCATAAAGGAACCAACCCACATTTTGGCAGTTTTGAGATAATGAAGTTTTCGATTATAAAAATTAGTGTTCTATAAAATGCAAAATAGAACCAACCTATTTATGTGCATAGTCACGCCATCTGTGGGATAGTACCCTTATGCATACAGTAAAACGCGGTTACAGAATTCTGCATAAAGGAACCAAACGGGTTGGTTCCTTTATGCAAATTTCATACCTAGTTATTCTATTGTTGGTTCCGGTTGTGTTTACATAAACCGTTATCTTTCAGTTACATTTTAAGTGTTAACGAGTGATATCATTATGTCTGTGTCCAGAGGACGATATATGGTGCAGCTAACACAAAAAGAAAACAAAGATGAGGTATGTAATAAGTATTAAAAGCGTGCAAAAATAAATTTGTTTAGATTAAGTAAAAATTTGAAACCTAACCTCAATACTTTTTAGGAACCTACCATTGACGGTGATAATCTGTTACAAGATTCGGGTGATTTTTCAGAGGACACCGATGATAGCATTGCTGATGCGAATTATGTACCCTCTTCATCAGATACAGAAGATGAAAATGCCCCATTGGAAGATGTAGTTAGCAATCAAAGTACTTCTACAGGCAGACGGCCAAAGGGTCGAAAACGCAAATATAACAATCAAACACGTGATAGCAGGAAAAAGTTCAAGAACACCAACAAACCTTACGTAAATTATAGAGGTATCCATGTTAATTCCAAAGAATTTGAAAACTACGTGTGCAAGTGTAAGAATAGGTGCAGTGAGATGGTTTCTGTGGAAGAACGAGAAAAACTGTTTAAGAAATACTGGGAATTAGGATCATATGATTCCCAAACAACTTATTTAGGTACACTAATCAGCGAGGAACCAGTCAAGCGTCATTATGGAGTTAGTTCTGGTGATCGGGCGAAACAATTTACTCGAGTATATAAAATAAGTAGTATTAAGGTTTGCCGGGACATGTTTGTTAAAACGCTCCAAATATCAACAAAACGTGTTAATACCGCTCTCGTGAAGATTAAGTCGGACAGTATAGTTGATAAGAGAGGAGCGTATGGTGGTTATAATAAACTTAGCAGTACACGTTTCAACGAAGTTATTGACCACATAAAAAGACTTCCAAAATATAAGTCCCATTACAGACGGGAAGAAATGCAAGATGCTGAGTATTTAGAAAGCCACATAACTATTGAGAAAATGCATTCTTTGTATTCAGAAGAAGTGGAAAATCCAGTCAGCTATCAAAAGTATAAAAAAATTTTTATTCAAATTTTAATCTACGGCGTAAGCCGTTAAAAAAGGACACCTGTAATCTATGTGACAAACTAAATGCTGCTGTAAAATGTGCTAAGAGTAACGATGATAAAGAAAAGTTTTTGCAGGAGCATAAAATACATTTAACTAATCAGGAAGAAGCAAGAAACAGAATGAACAAAGACATGCAACAGGCAAAAATCGATGACAGTTTAGAAGTCCTTACGTTTGACATGGAAAAAACATTACCCTTGCCAAAAATTCCCACGAATATAGTTTTCTATAAGAGACAGATATGGTTTTATAATACTGGTATCCATTCATGCAAATTCAATAAAGGATATTGTTATACATGGTTAGAAGGCAAAGCTGGTAGAGGAGCTCAAGAGGTAGGGTCTTGTTTGCTCAAGCACATTGCGCGACATGTTCCTGAATCCACAAAACATCTCATACTTTGGTCAGATTCTTATGGTGGCCAAAACCGAAATATAAAAATTGTACTAATGTTAAAGGCTGCATTGGAAAATCATTTGACATTAGAAGATATTTCATTAAGGTTTTTGGTTTCCGGGCATAGTTTTTTAAAAAACGACAGCGATTTTTCAGACATAGAAAAGGCATTAAAGTTACAGCAAAGAATCTACAGTGAAGACGATTACATAAATATCATAAAAAGCTGTCGTAAAAAAAATCCCTTACAGGTTACGAAAATGAAAACGGAACATTTTTTTGGGACCAAAGATACAGAAAAGCTTATCACCAACCGCAAAGTAGATACGTCTGGAGAAAAAATTAATTGGCTTCATTTGAGAGAAATAAAAATTTATAAAGAAAAACCATTTGAATTATTTATGTCAAAAACACACAGGGAAGACTATGTTCAAGTAGACATTTCAAAAAAATCAAAAGGCAGACCTTCTTTAGATAACACAAGGAATATCTTTTCGCCATCGCTAACTCAACTGTGGCCTACGGGCAAACCAATATCGCCCAAAAAGCTTGAAGACATCTCATCTTTACTACATCTTATTCCTGAAGACGTTAAGCACCACTATACTACTCTGACAAGTGATAGTAATGTTGAAGATTATCTTGATGGTTACGACGCTAATTTAGATTTTGAATTTGACGGATAATACATGTTGATTTGATAAATAAAATATTTTGCCTTCTAAAGTGTTACTTTTTATCCATATTGAATAAATATCAGAGTGGTTCCAAATTCAAATTTTATAATCCAGGTATTCACATTATGCAAAAAAGAACCAAGCCACATAACAAAAACAAAATAACATTTTTTATAATATGGTCATTAAATTATCTTACATTTACACCAATAAATTAGTTTTATCCATAAATGAACGCTTAAATAATTCAAACTGCCCTACTACATTTTTTGCAATTTAAATACATAAAACCTGTCATAGCTCATTTTCATATATTTTGGGTTGGTTCTTTTATGCATAACTACATCCAATTGTTCTCGGCGTGGCTTTATCTTGATGCTGATACTACGCAGCATATATACTACGTCAGGCAGCAGCTAAATTTAGAATAACAGTGGCGTACACTATTTTGTTAAATTATCATCAAATTTATATATGCGCGTGCGCTAAAAGGTTAAAATACGTTTATTTTTGACGTTTCGATTTCCGCTTTTGAAATTTTTCTCAAAATAAAAATTTGTTTAAAACAAACACACAATAAAAATTATGAATTAGGTATATCAAAGTTACATTACGTTAGAACACGAAATAAAATTGTTGTAAAAAAAATATTTATAAAGCATTAAATCTGCAGATCCCTGTTATAATTGTTTACAATAGTAAATAACACCAAGCCTTGTATCTAGAAAAAACGAATGTTATATACTATGTACTAGGGAAATAGGATAGATTAAAATAATAAAAGTTTACCTTTAATGTGAAATTTTTTTAAGCCCAACAAATATTACAATAAGAATAATTTCAAAATTGTAGCTATTGGTCATCGTCCGTTGTTGCATTTGCCAGATGAGATACATATAAATCCCACTGCCTTGAAGGTAACTTCAGAGAAAAGTATATTACTACATAATTATGGTAAAATAAAAGCGTTTTACGTGACATCAATAAGTGAACCATTTACAGTTGTACCAGCTAAAGGTAAAACCCTAAAACATTTTTGCTTTTACTTTTTGTCTAAATTTTACAAAATGTTGTATACAGACCTCTGCAGTTTTTTTTATATGTAGAAGTTTTATACGTTTTTTATTATTCGCTTGTTTCTTTTTCGATTTCACAGTATTTTGCTCTCTTGGTCCATATAGGTACTTAGATCTTAGAAAAAAAATTTAACAGATAAAAAAATATTTGACGCAAATATTAATATAATTTTTAAGTTTTGTTTTCGGATATTTAGTTTTTCAAAGAATACTAAAATATGATTTAAAAATAAATAACACATAAATTCAAGAGTAAAAAGGAAATATTGATATAGTAACAAAATGGGAGGCAAAAGTCTACATACCGCCAATTAAGGAGACTTGATACATTTTTGAAATACAATTATTGTTTGTAGTTTTGAAATGGAAAGACCCAGAAACTTCATAAACCCCTCAAACGTCTATTCTCGAGATCTAATTTATATAGTCCAAGTGCCATAACGTTATAAATTTTAGTTTTAAGTTTACTAAAAAAATAATTTGGAGTATTTGGTGTAAGTTAACCCCGTCGGTTGAGGTGATTTGGTACACGTTTTTATTTCTTTAAAAAATATCATTTTACAAGTTTTAGAGGGTGACTTGATACACAAAAATTATTTTTTTGAAGTTTAAATTTGAAAAAATACATTCGAAGATCTTTTTATGCAAAACTTATGAAATATTAATGTTTATCCCTTTAAATAGTAAAAAAATACACAAAATGTTTTTTCAATACAAGTATTATTATAAAACATCAAACGGAATTATAAAAAGTCTTGTTTTTTGTTTTTGTGGCATAGGTAAGCGTTTTCTAAAGACCCATTCAGGTAGTGTTGGGTTCCTAATATCCTAACGAAGTTGTGCCAGAGCATGCCCGTGGCATTTCACACATCGGGATGGAAGGGCCAGTTAAAGCAAAACCACACCCACACAAACCACCAAAAACTTTCAACCCTCTGAATTAGTGACGCTGCCATCTCTTTCGCGTCGTCTGTCTCATTGACACCTATTTCGGCCTGCAACAGTCTGAACACGACCGAGGTACTACTCGCTAGTTTCAAAATTCTGTTGTGAGTTTTCTTTCCTGTCGTTCTTTTGAAGAGAGCAGCTTTCTAATAAATTTGTGGAGCCAGGTCCACCACCACTCATCCCACATCATTTACTTCCACTATTTCCTCACAGAATCAAACATTCTGCAGTTACACTCTTTTTCAACACACCACTCCAAAATCGCGTTTGGCACAATTTCCCAAAGACCCCAGTAAAGGTACTGATCGGACTGTGCCCTCCTAAACTTAAAAATGCAGCTACGGAAGCACCCATGGTCTGTGAGCATTTGAGCCAGATAATAATCTAGCTGCCCATACTCACAGTGCACTCAGATATGAAGGTTCGGAATTAGTCACTTCGTCCACTTCGCCACATCACGTGTTGTCTCCCAATCTTACTGTCATTGGCCGATTGAAACTAATCTCCGACCAGCCTTATTTCACTCAACTCTCGCTCTCCAATGTTCCGCCACCTATAACTATGAATCCTGGTTCTTTCATCGGCCAGCACATGTAAAGGACCACAGCCAGTGATCACCCGGAGGACCCGATCTGGACTACATAGTAGGTGCTTAAGCAATTCAAAGTTTGAACTCGGCAAATCGTCATTTAGTCAAATTGCCGGTACAACTTTTTTCCATTAAATATCGACGTTATTTTTAACAAGATCAAAAAAGAGCCAAGTACAACGTTAGTAAAATTTAAAGGAGAAGTTGAGAAATGTGATCCGCTTTTTAACCAAGTGTAAACAATTATAGAGAGATGAAAGAAGAAATAGAAATAGAAATGGAAGACAGATATTCTATCAAAAGCCAGTAAGAACCAGGAAGAGAGGGAGGCCAAGATCTAGATTCAAAATTCAATTCGAAGATGACTTAAGAAATCTAGGGGTCAGAAAGCCAGGGCGAAAGATAGGGGGGAATGGAGACTAATTCTTGAAGAAGCCAAGACCCAACCAGGGTTGTAGAGCCAAATATGATGATGAAAGAAGAAATAACAGGAGAAAATAATACTGAGAAAAAATGGGAGAGAAAACAAAATGTAAGAGAGTTCGAATAATACAAAAAAAGTCCATTTTACTTGAGGGGGTATATACACATTTGTTACTACTAGCTCTTCAATTTTTATGACTGTGCTATTTATGTATGTGCAAGTCTGAAAATGTTTCAAATCGTAACAAAATACAAGTTTTTGAGAAAAAATTGTTAAAATAAATCTATTTTATTATGGCTGTTTCTTTACAGGTTGTTTAGAACCAAATGAAGTTGTAGAATTAGACATCCAATGTACTCCCACGACAAATACAAATTTTATAAGAAATGACTTGATTATACATTGCGATGATCTAGAGGTTAAAGTTCCTGTTACTTGTATGCTGCAACCTGCTGAGGTCTACTTCATACAAAAATCAGTAGAATTTTTAGAAATTTTCGTGGGATTACAATATAATAAAACGATAACTCTCTGCAATAAGAGTCCCTTTACATTACAATTTCAGGTAAGAATAACAAGGATAAAAGTATCGTGTACTTACTCATACTGTTATGTATACAGTGTTTTTCAGATAAAACTATTCACCTAAATAACTTTTAAACTTTTTTAATTTTTAGGAAAAGCGCAAAAACAAATCAATTACTATTTGAAGGGGGTGACATGTCATATTTAAGCTTGCTGGAAGAGGTACCCTCTCACCCCCATATCATCCCTTAATTTTTTTTAGATAACTTCCACCTTTATTATTTGATATTTGAATTCTCCTCTTTGTACTGTTTTCAAAAATGTATATCGTATGGTACTTAAAGTGTTAGTTTATGAGATAAATAAATACAAAATCAAGAAAACTGGATTGAAAAAAAACATATTTTTTAACAATTTTATTACAAGCATTTAGAATGAACATTTCACTACCAAAAATTTTTTATAATGATTGTTAAAAATGACTCCTATTCACTTTCATCTAATAGAACAATCTATTTTAAAATTCTTCTCTGACATTGCTTACAACGTCAGCATTTAATTGTCGACATTGATCCTATATTCTTTGTCGTAAATCATCCAGAGATTCTTTTTGAAGAGCATAAATTTTTGTTTTCAAATACCCCAATCAGAAGAAATCTAGGAGTGTTAAATCCGCTTACCTAGGTGGCCAATCATTAATCTGTAATCAGGTAGAGTAGTACTTATTTGTCTAACCCAAAGTGCATACTGATATCATTTGAAAAAGTTTCTACAGTTTTTAGCATTTGATGTAAGTGAGTTCGAGTGGAAGCCATTAGTTTCAAATCATCCATATACAACAGATGATTAAGCTTCGCCACTACAGTGTTGTTGTTTTTAATGCTAAAACCTGAGTCAGTGGAGTTCAATCGCGGGGATAGTGGATTCATCGCTATACAGAACCACAAGGGACTTAGTGAGTCTCCTTGGAAGAGGCCGCGGTTAATTGCGATATTTTCCGTTTCGATATTGTTTTCACCAGGTATTTGGAGGTGAATTTTAGTCTTTCAATCTGTCATTATATGTCAAGAAGGTCACTATATTAGTGACTTTATTAGTATACTTTATATATTCTTAATATATTTACCAGCCATTCATGCGGCACTGAGTCAAAGGCTTTCTTATAGTCAATAAAGGCAGTGAAGAGGTTCCTTTTTTTTGTTGTATGCCTGGTTAGAAATGACTGAGTCGATAATAAGTTGTTCTTTGCAACCCATGGAGCCCTTAGCGCATCCTTTCTGTTGAGGTTCTATGATATTGTTTAAAGCGCAGTGTTGGTAGATACGCTGGGCTACACAGGATGTGACCAATTTATACAGAGTTGGAAGACACGTAATTGGGCGGTATTTGGCTGGATCTTGGGTGTTATTTTGATCCTTCGGTATTAAATAAGTTTTTCCCTAAGTTAGGAATGATGGTATTTCCTGCGGATTAGAAATAACACGATTAATTAATGTTGACAGGCACTCATGAGCACTCCAGAACTTCTTAAGCCAGAAGTTTTGAACTCCATCTGGTCCAGGAGATTTCCAGTTATGAAGCTCTTTGATGATATTAGAGACTTCTTCTGTGGTGAAGGGTTCATAAACAGTTGTGCGGTAATGTTGACAGCTGTGCGTCGTATCTTCTATCCATCCAGCATTGGTGTTAAGAGCAGCTGGTGTGGAAAGTTGATTTCCCCAAAACTCCTGAATGTCTTCTTGGCTTGGGTATGATTTATTGGCTTTCGACAGTGGAATTAAGTTTCCGATAGAACGCCTTCTCGGCATGCTCAAAAAGCGCATTGTCACATTTTCGGCTGTTACTAACCTTGTACCTCCTTAGTCGTCATGAATAAACGGAGAGTTTTTGTTTTAATGTATCCAGGCACTGATGGGCTGTGATGTTTACTGGATCATATTGCGAGTGTCTTGCAGTGCTTAGCATTATTTATTATTATTATCCCAGATTTAGCCATACGGCTCACACTCCCTCTAAGGGGAAAATTCACTCATCCCAGATACCTACGATATCAAAAGGATTGAGCTCTGGTGGGACTCTTTCCGTGTTATCGAGCCCTAGGTGACTTGGTATGTCGGAGTATCTCCCAGAAATTTTCGTACATATCTGGAGGTCGCGAGGAGTACAGCTTTCTGCATGGCCTTATAAAGATGTTTATTTAGACCCAGCTGTTTTATGTTCGCTAGGAGGTTTTTGGGAATAGCACCAGTAGTAGATAAAGCAATAGGTACTGTCTGGGTACTTTCCATTCTCTATTGTCTCTTGATTTGTATTTCCAGATCTCTATACTTGGCGATCTTTTCGTTGTATTTAACAAGCAAATTGTTAGTGTTAGGTATCGCCACATCAATAAGTGTTGTTTGCCTGGTAATTTTATTCACTAGTATAAGATCTGGTCTATTATGGGCCACTGGTTGGTCTGTAAGCACAGTGCGGTCCCAGTATAGCTTGTAGTTGTCATTTTCAAGCATTCTATCAGGGGCGTATTGATAATAAGGAAGATGGTCGGTTTGGAGAAGTCCCAGTTTGTCAGCTAGTTCTTGGTGGATAATCTTTCCTACTGAGTCATGACGTTCTTTATAATCAGTACCGACAAATGCCTGGCAGCCACCGGTAAGATGTTGGATGGTTTCTTGGGCTTGGCATCCATATCGGCATTTGTCATTTTGGACTTGAGGATCTTTAACAATATATTTCAGGTAATTTTTAGTTGGAATAACCTGATCCTGAATGGCAAGTAGGAAACCCTCAGTCTCGGGAAACATCTTTCCTGATGTCAACCAATAGTTCGACGCTGTATTGTCGACATATTCTTGGTTGATCTCATTGAGATGTCGCCCGTGCAGAGGTTTACTCATCCAGGTGCGCATTTTTTCTTGCTGAGTCAGGTGGTTTATGCGCATTTCTTGTTCCCTCAGTTTAAGCGGCGTCGTATCATCTACTGCGCAAATTGCTCGATGTAAAGTAGATGTCTCAGCCTGTACCTGAAAATAAGATCTTAAATTAGCAATTTGTTTATCTAATTGCTCACCTATATCCATAAGTCCCCTTCCCCCTTGATACCGCGGTAATGTTGTTCTCTCTACTGCACTACGTGGATGATGTTTTTGCGCCTTTGTGAGAAGTGTTCTTACTTTCCGCTGAAGACCTCTATATCCGTTTTTGACCACTTTTATAATACCAAATGAGTAGCTCAGCGCGGAACAGGCGTAAGTATTTATTGCCTTAAACAAATTTTTACTATTAAGATATGACCGATTTAGTTGATCCTTTGGTATTAGATAAGTGGTTCCTTGAGTAAGAAATGATGGTATTTCCTGCGGATTAAAAATAACATGATTAATTAATACTGTTAAATACTCGTGTATACTCCAAAACTTCTTTAGCCAGAAGTTTTGAACTCCGTCTGGCCCAGGAGATTTCCAGTTATGAAGCTCTTTGATAATGTTCGAGACTTCTTCAGTGGTGAAAGGTTCATAGGGAACATTAGTGTAGTGTTGACAGTTGTTCGTCGTTTTTTCAATCCATCCAGCATTGTTGTTATGAGTAGCTGGTGTCGAAAGTTGGTTTCCCCAAAACTCATGAATTTCTTCTTGGCTTGGGTAGGATTTATTTATATTTTCTACAGTGGAATTCAGTTTTCTATAGAAAAACTTCTCTGCATGCTCAAAAAGTATATTGTCACATTTCCGGTTATTACTCACTTTGTATCTCCTAAGGCGACCTGAATAAACGGAGAGTTTTTGTTTTAGTGTGTCCAGGCAGTGTCGAGCTGTGTTGTTTTCTGGATCATGTTGTGAGTGTCTTCCAGTGTTCAGAATTATTTCTTCAGTTCTTTTAACTACTTTTTGAGTTCTTACTCCTCGAATGTATTCCGTAATTTGTCCAATGTCCCTACGCAGTAATTCAATCTTCCTCAGCAGTCGTTGTTCCCAGGGTGCTATTCTGTTTTCAGTCCTTCCGATATTAGTTCCTCGTCGTGTTCTGATCTTAATGCCCATAACATTAGCAATTGCTGTTGCCGCACAGTAAATCAGCATATGCAAATATTCCAATGTATGGGCTTCCACGATATAATTGGGTAGGACTTCAGTATTCACAATTTGTAACAGCGCTCCTAGTTTCTTCGAAGAGTTTATTTTTGGTAGCGGTGGTCTGCTAAGTGGGTTTGTTCCACTAAACTCTTGTACGACACGTGCCATCTCGTTTACCAGACTATCGTGTAACTCGTTATTCTCCTGTTGTATATTATCAGGTGGAGTTTTTTGGATGAGAAGCTCAGGAATCTGCTCATTAATGATTTCATTAGGGACTTGGTCTACAACTTGCTCTAGGTTATGGATCTCCCGTTCGACTTCGCTTTTGATCATGTCGCGTCTATTCTCTGGGATAAGATTGTTTCTGATAATTACCCGGTATTGGTCTGCTACTCTTTGTTCAGATACTTGGATTTCTGGGTACTCCCTGCAAAATTCTGCATAAGTTGTTGTCGATAGCCGATCGTTTCTTGACCGAGGTTTGTCACCTTATAATAAAAGCGCAAAATGTTCTCGTTTATAGACACAGTCCATTTCATGCGCTGCCTCGGTCGTCCCGCTTGAGTGAGCGCTGGCTGATGTTCCAGCGCAGCACCTTCAGCGAGTAGAGCTCTTGCTGTTGTTTGGCTCACTGGTGGTTCTTCTTGTGGTTCTTGTTGTTGTTGGGCTGTAGCTGATTGTATGACAGGGGCCCGCCTCCTCAACACCCTGCCACCGACGTCCCGCATGCTGTCACGTCCAGCGCCGGCTCCAGACGTGCCCTGGCGATCCCCAGGCAGCGACCCTAAACATAAATCTCATTATTCACCATTTTCATGGGTTTGCATTTTATACCTACTGCCAGGTGTCAGTTTTTGTTCCACGACAGGTATTCCTGTTACCCTCTGGGTATCGGTTCTAAGAATACCCAGAAAGCATCCCCCATTCGCAGGGTGCCGCGCCTGATAGAAGAACTGATAAAAAC